TGAATGCATAATGTTTGTATTAAAAAATAGGCATCTGTTCTTTAACAATATTAATCAACATTCCTATAGAACAAGAAGAAATGATTTCTTGCTTTCTATACATAGGTTAACTGTAACAGAAAAAACTCCTCATTACATGTCAATGAAACTGTAAAATAAATTGCCTAATCGAATCAAAGATCTGAAGAGCATAAAGAAATCTAAGAAAGAAATAAAAAAATATTCAATAGATTTAGAACCATATAGTGTTAGTGACTATTTAGACCAAATCGAATAATAGAAATGTATATATTTATGAGTACTTCTGAGTTCTTTTTTTTGTTGACATTATTTCATTCTATGTTGTCTGTGTACAAGCTGTAATAGTCGGTATATTTTTTAAATAAATATTATTATTATTACTATCGAAAAAAAAATTATACATATATACAATCTTTATACAAAAAATGTGGGAATCTTCCAAAGAAAGGAAGGGAGCAATTTACTCCATAGAAGTATTTCTATACAAACCCACAAAATGGAAGAAAAAGTCTTCTCAAAACAACTGCTTTCTTATAAACATTGATTTACACGACAGAAAAATACTTTCCAAACAAATACTTTTATATAAACACTGAATTATACAAAAAGCATTCCAAACATTCGTTATGGAATTTAATCAGATATAATTCACAGGATTCCTACACAAAATAGTAAATGAAAGATAAAGCACAGCATTCATTCATACAATTACTACTTCATGTCACGAATGAGTTAGATCTACTCATGTCAATGATAACAGTACCTAATGACATTCATTTCCTTATTTGATTTAATCCCAGCCATAGGAATTTTGTTTGAATTGAAAGGGGATGTTTTTAGGAGAGAGTGATTTTTAAGAAAGGAAGTTTTTGGCTTTCTACTTCTCCAACTTTATACAGAAAAATGTAGGAATCTTCCAAAGAAAAAAAGGAAGCAATTAACTTCAAATTAAACTCTTTAGAAATATGTGTAGATCATTTCTTAAAACCCAAATAGTTTAGAACTAATTATTTCTGTAACGTTTGAAAATTATGTTTTTTAACCAACGAATTAACGAATTTTAACCAGCTAATAGTGATAACAATTTTTCATTGCAATATGATCAGCAGTGGACACAGCAAAAGCAAAACTTTCGAGAAGTTAATCTCATTTACCCTAAAAAAAATACTGATTTTAACAATGAATACATTTTCAAATTGCAATATTGAAATACATCAATGTTTCATCATCGACAAAGTTACGGTTAAAAATTACTTTAAGTCGAGAAAAGTTTTTTTTTAATATTCGTGATGAAAAGAATTTACATATTTTATTTTTGTGACAAATTTCAACTTAGCCAGCAGTTAAACGAATAGTTTAACTGTGTTTATGTCACAAGTAAGAAATGTCTGAACTTCTAAACTTCTTTGTGAAATTACATCAAGTAATGGCCGACTCAATCAGACTGTGATATTTTCAAGTTTTTTGGTCGGTCACTCACTGGAGTTGACCACCGTGCTGGTAGGTGGTTCAAGCCCCAGGCTTAAGGATCGATTTTAACTTCCTATCGCCCAACCCGTGTTAGGAATCACACGTTGAAAGATAAGACCTCGTTAATCTTTAGCTCGTACAAGTTTCGACATTTTCAGGATAAGAACTTCTTTATTTTTCATTGTGATTGACATGTTCTATACCCAATAGGGTCTCTGAATGAAATATATGATTGATAGTCTTCTGAGGGTTGTCGTTCGTAGGGGTGCGACAGCTGGTTAACTGAAAAACAGATTTTAACAGAGTTCCTTCGATAGAGAACTATGTGCTTTTATTGACTGATAGTAAGCTCCTTGCTTATATTATGTAGAGTTATGGTTGGTATTAATATTCATATTATTTGGATATTGACCACTATTTCTGGTAAACGGGTTAGAATTTTTTTTTACAAAGCAGACAAGGCACAAGAAATACAACGAGGACACTGTCAAAATGTCGACTTTACAAAAGAACTCCTCACAAGAGCTTCTTCGATCTAGGTTTAGGAGTGTACTGAAGAACTCCAAAATATATTACCATATGAAATCGGAGTGGTCATAGTTATATGTTCTCAGACAACAAAAGGAGACTTGATCCCTCAAATATCGAATCATACCACAGGCTCAACTCAGTGTTTAAGAACTCTTTCATTGGAAGAAATGCTTTCATATAGAATAAACTTCCTGAGAAGGTTTTTTCCAAATGGATTTAATCTCCAATGATTCAAATCCAATGTGAATAGCTTCTTTCGCACAGGCAAGCTCTTAGAGTTCTTGTGTTTTGCAGAAGGAAGCGTATTGGTCCAAGGATCGAGCCCTGAGGTACACCCTGTCCAATTATGATCCTACTAGATATATAATGATCGATTTGATAGGTTTGACCTAATGAGTTCATAACCCACTTCCCTTACACCTTCCTTTCCAGCTTATTTAGGAGTTTTTCGTGGTTTACCATGTCATAGGCCTTTGAGAGATCATAGTACAAGCCTACCGAGGTTTTTTTGCTATCAGAATTTTCTGTTACTTGTTTAACTGCATTGAATATCGATAATTCGGTGGACATTTCTTGTAGAACATTCCAAGTAGGACGCTGAATAGCAAAGGGCTAAAATGAATTTGGTTGTAACTATTTTTCCGTTGTTTTAGGACGAAGCGTCCGAGCTGAAAGACGCCAGCACATCGACAGACGACCTGACCGTTTTTTGCAATCGCTGTAAGCAAGCCTTGTTAGACGGCAACGTCGTAAACGGCGAATTAGAATTATGTACTGACCTCCACAAGGCCATTGCCGAATCTTTAGTTAAAAACAAAGTGAATTCCGAGTCCGCCTCGGAAAAACTATTACGGAGAAGAAAAGTAGTTCCTTTTTACCACGAGTTGGAAGACTCTTTGTGTAGCAGCTTGACGGAATTCACGCATAATACCGAGGGTTCCCAGTGCTTTGAGGAAAATAGCGATACCGATGACTCTATAGATTCCGATGAGATACAAAGACCGAGGAAGAGAAGGAGGATGGTATTCGATGACGATAAATCTGACGAGAACCAAGAAGACAGTGGCGAATCTTCCGCTCAGTTGCAAGGTTGCAAGGAGGGTATGATTATGATAAGGAAACCTTCCGATATCAATGGTGACCGAGAAGAAGATTTGGAGAATATGTTCGCTGACGNGTGGTGTCATCTGCAAATAGTGTAATTTTACCATCAATATTGATGTTAGGAAGATCATTCACATATAGGAGAAATAAGATAGGACCTAGAACAGATCCTTGAGGAACTCCACGGCATATTTTGGAGAGACTGGATGTTTTATTTCCTACCTTGACAATTTGATTTCTGTCAGAGAGAAAAGAGCTGAACCATTCGAGGGTTGGCCCTCTGAAACCATAAAGAAATAATTTCTTCAGCAATATTCTGTGATCTACACAGTCAAAGGCCTTATTATTATTATATATTAGTATATTCGTTATTGTTTTAAACTTATTGAAAAAAAATTAACTTTTTAGTTCGATGTTCCTTAAAAGCGTGTTTTTTAGTTTTTTAAACTATATTTATCTAATGAACACAATCATTTTGTGATTGTGTTCATGAGCTAGACATATACCTATTCTATACAGGACAATTTCAAAAACGAAATACAATGAAAGCGATTACCGAATAATATCCAAGGGTTTCTGTATTTGCTTTTCAAACGGTTAAAGACAGATGATCATAATTATAACCTACTTCGCCGCAGGTACCAACCCTTGTCTCTCCTCCAACTTACATTGAACGTGATCAACAAAACCAACGTCCCTGGCTACGAACCGGATGAGTTCACCCTGGAAACGATCTGGCCCAACTGCAACTATTGCGGCGTCCAGTACCCCAACCTGAAAGTCCTCGCCATTCACGAGGCGAGCCACATCGACATCGAGATGGGCGAGAAGATCGATAACCCCATCCCGTGGCATTCATCGCGGGAGTACGCAGAGGTAATGAGGATAATAAATTTATTAGTTAAGAATCCCGAGATACAGAACAATAGCAATGATTATGAAATCTTCATTTTTTCAAAATATAATGGTGCGGAGAAAATGTAATTTTCATATGTAAAAATGTCTCTTTTGTCTCCAAGGGGCGCCTCAGTTGAAATATTCAATTATCATTTTTTATAGCACATCTACAACATATAATGAACCTACATACAAAATTTCAGCCTCAAAAAATACAGTGGTGCGGAGAAACGGTGAAGAAAATGTAATTTTCATATGTAAAA